TTCCTCATTCATCTGGAACAAAGCGCAGAGCCCCGCTGCCTGCCTGCCTTGCTGGATGCCCGTCACGCCGAGGTACCGCAAGCGGGTTCACGCCGGATCCGGGGGCTCCTCGGCAACGCAAGAGCTCGGGGCAGCTCAGCCGTGCAGCTCAGCGCCCCACGTGTCCCGCGAGGCAAGCCTTGTGCTGAGGTGAAGTGATTTGCTGAAGGTCAGAGCAAAGAAGGGACGCGGGAGGGGAATCGAACCATTAGCCATCGCTCTCTTTACAGGGCCATACAGAAGAACAGGTAGGGGACTGACAAAAACATGAGCTGTTTACTCATCCCACAAGGCGAAATATCATCATCCCTATTTTACAGATGGAGTGCATTTCTTAAACAGAGATCTGGAAAGAATGAAGATCCCCTGAGCCTTAGGGCTACTGTTTTATCCACAAAACCACACAAAAGGTTTAAAGTCCAAATAGACTGAAACCAGCTTCGTCTTCTTGAGTCACTGGCTCAGATTCCCCCGTGAGCTTCGGTACAGGCTGCTGGTGGTGCAAAGTTGCCTGCTGCAACAGCAACACCTAGATGGGACCCTTTCAGCTACCAGCAGACCCAGGGGTTGGAGGGACACGGCATATTGCTGCTATTTTTTTCACTATCACATAAATAGCAGGTATTCTCCAGGAGAACCAATTCGTGGGCAGATCCTGAGTCACCACGATAACAGGATGACAAACAATCTTTATCCAAGTTCTCCAAATGGGACAAGGGAAAAAACATTGCAATTCTACGTAGGAACCGCCGTTCCAGATTCAAGGAGCCGTGCAAAGCCTGATGCTTGCATGGCCCAGGACTGAGATGCAGGAAGCCCAAGTTTAACTCCCGGCACTGCCCCGGCTGTGCAAAGCGATCACAGCAAGACGCTCTCATGCACCTCCCCTGCCTCTTCCCGGCAGAATTTAGGCAGCAATATCAGCTGGAGTGGGGATGGCCGACGTTAACCCTCCATGTAGGTCAAAGGGACTACAAACACCTTCAGATGAGGGCAGATAGTTCAGTATTTTTTTCATTTCCATCGCGGCACCAGAAATATTGAAAAAGACACCTGAGAGCACCTATTGTACTATCTGTCTGTAACCAACAGTTCAGTTTGGCAATGTTTTTATTTTCAAAGCACATGCAACAGCAAAAATTCCTAAAGGCAGTAAAACCACAGTAGATGACTTCATCCATACCTGATACATGGCCATTTTGGAGCACAGCAGAGAAAAGAACACCTTCTATGTGAAAAAAAGCTTTTTTTTTTTTTTTTTTTAAAAAAGGTATTTCTTACCTTTAAATCCCAGATCCACTCACTTTGAAAACATGCTCTCTCTCTAGGCCAGACCAACTGGGTGTGGAGATGTCGGTGCAACTCTGTGACCTGCACTTTTCAGACACTTAGTGATGATTATAAAGTTCCTGTCTGGCCCTAAACCCTGTGAATGTTACACATTTTGGCCCAAGAAATGAATATGGTTGCTCTTCAAAACTGAACCACAGGCATCTCCTTGGGACCTTTAATCAAAATTGAGTTTGTCAGGACAGCACCCCATACTTGCAGGCCATGCTGAAGCCCGGCTCTGTAATGACTTAGGAAAAAACCACAACCCTTCTGCTTCAGCACCACTTTCTGCCTCTGAGAGCAAAAATCTGTGGGTTTTGTGAGCCATCTGCTCTTTTCAGGTTCCTCTCCCAGCTAAAGGTTGACCAAATTCTTTGGCTTTGCACAAACCCTTTCCACTCACATGCAACTTAGTTTCAGTGTGTTTTTTGCACAATAAACCCATATTTCACAAGCTGTCCTTGCTCTTGCAGAGATCAAGAAGAATACTGTTGCTGCGAGAAATGACACAAAACTATCAAATACCTTTGCAATTAACTGAACCGTACCAGAGTTTCAATCATAAGTGAATTGTTTAAAACAGATTTTGAGCATTCATCTCTTTTTTCGTACAGTATGCACTTTATTGCAGAGAAGACTGGACGCATTTTTAAAACAAATTCAGGAGTTGCACAGTTTCCAGACATTTCTACAAAGTGTTGCCCACAGTAACTCGAGTACAATGGAGTCCGTCAGACAAAAAGTAAGAGGGAACTCAATCCTGTCATCTGCAATCACTTGAGAGAGTCAGAATATCTTGCAACTGATTATTTAAGAGCCATGTAGAACAGGTGGCTCTGCTCCTGCGAGCACCTCCGCCAGCAGAACAGAGGTTAACCGTGTCACTCCTGATTTACACCAGCGTAACTGAGACCAGAAGTTGGGCTTGTACCATGAAAGCAGCCAGTGAAGATTTTATGTCAGCGTGATACGCACGTGGTGGCAGATTTGTGACGTTTCCTGAAGGGCTTTTTTCAGGATCAGATTAGAGACAGCATCTCCCATTTCAGGTATTACTGTATCTTTGCTGGAGACAGCGTCTCCCATTTCAGGTATTACTGTATCTTTGGATCGATGCACAACCGTGCTGCCCAGTCCCTCTCCACATGGGAAAGAAATCTTGGCATGAAAACGCATCAAGTCGTAACAGGCACTAACTACTACAATAAACTATAACACAGTCTTTGTCTGCCCTGGATGCTGCTGCGCTTGGAAGCATCCCAGCAGGACACAGCCAGCCCCAGGTAGGCTGAGGGTTAGCCACAGCCCCGTAGTGGGATCGCAAGCACATTAGACTGTGGCTAGAAATGTTCTTCAGCGTATCAGTTAACAAAGATAATGCATTTTCCTAGTGAGACCATCCACAATAATTGCTTTTGAGAGACACTGGCTGCAATTCGAACGTTAGAATATTAGATAAAAATCCTCAACTTTTTTTCTGTAAAATGTGTTTCCTCACCAATTACATACCCCAAGCCTTCTCTCTGAGCCACCACGGTGTGATATTCAATACAGTTCAAGCTCTTGATGCAAGTCCAGAGCTCGTCCGAGGACAATGAGACTGAATGGGCTGGCACAAGACATATCAGCATAGAAAAGCCTTAAAACCACCAGACTCTGAGATCTGCTTCTCACCTCCTACACCTTTCCAAAGCTTCACTGACATAAACAGTAATGGCATTTTTTACCAGCTGAAGATCTGACACACAGGGCTCAAACTCTAATGATGTAAAACCACAGGGCAGTCAGAAATTCCCCGTGACGGATGTACAGTAGAATGGCTCAGAGTGTGTTCAAGGTATATGCTACAGAAGAGCTGTTCGTCTGGAGGTTGCTTTGTGTTTAAATGCTGATGTGTAGCGTGCTGAAAGACAGTTTTCTTTACTCCTTTAGCATTGTGCCAGCTGTATGAAAGCTAAAAATCTACTGGGGTGAATGGGAACCTTGGGAAAAGTAACTGATTGAAAAAAAGCCTCAGAAACTGAAGGCTTCTGTGTAGTATCAGAGCGGGGATGGCACGGATCGAGACAAGAGTTCACCCAACCCACCACGTGCCTCAAAGCTTAATTTTGGAAAGGATGCTTGGGGAGCAGGAGTGATAAATCATTCATCTGTCGCTTCCTGACGGCTTCGCCAAGGCTGCCAGTGCTGGCGGTTAGTAAGTGTGCGCATGTGACTTGCTAACTGAAAACCTATCCAGGAGATGAGACCACGACTCACGGAGACTTTGGAAGGCCATCCCAAAGCGATGTGCTTCTGACATAGGCTAAATTTTAATCCGTGATGAGTGACTGAGCCTAAGGCCCGTGAATGCTTTAAGGTCTCACATCTCTTCCCTTTCAGAAGAAAACAGAAAATTATCGCATGAAGTGGTTGCTAGGCACAAACGTTTCTTCTTCAAACAGATCCCCACAGGTTTCCCCCTTATAATTACTAAAATATACTACCTGATGTGTCATGAGGACGACAAGTAATTGATATTTAAGGCAATCTAATTTCCATAGCCCTCCCGTGATTTCCACCCAGCAGATCGCCTTTGTCTTCCTTCTCTAGGAACGATTTCTTGCACGTGAACATGACAAGCAGCAGCATCGGCAAATGCCACAGGCTGCAGAAGAAGAGCTTCCTGGAGCTGCTGCGGTCTGCATCCCTGTAGAACCGAAAGCCGAGGTAGGAGATGTAGAGGTTAATAGGGAGCGAAATGACGGGGAAAGTCCACGTGGTGATGTCGAGAACAGGAGCCACCGTTGAGAGTCCGATTAAGGCCAAGCAGTGACGCAGAGCCACCCGCCTGCACAGCCCTGGGTGGGTGACGGACATCATACAGTATCCCCCTCGGGAGTAATCTTCCCGCAGACCCCAGCTCAGGGCGTTGAAGTGAGGGAACTGCCAGGAATAGAGGATTCCTCCTAACAGTAATGCACCTGCAGCGGGAGAGAGAGAAGGAAACATGCATTAGAGGGCCACTGCAAGAAGTGCTACGTAAAGACCTCTGCAGATTCGGCTGTGTTTGCAGAAGAGCAGCGCCGCAAACCCGTTACACCGCACTGTGCAGAAGACAAGGCACGCTCTGTAAGATAAGGCACGCTCTGTTTTTAACGGCATTTACATAGGGTTGCGCACGGTGGTTCTTCTGTTTTTGGAGCACATAATTTGAAAAGCATTTCAACAAGTCACTTCCTCCTAACGAGCCATCGCTAATTGGTTTCTGCACCAATTCAGACTCTACCTGAGGGAAGACTGATGGAAATGAAGCAACGTTGGGCAAGTGTCTGTTTTCCTGGGAGCCTCCAGCTTCCACCACCAGGTTCCGGAGTTGGTGCGCCCAGAGCAGAGTGGCACGTTGACCAGAAATAGGGAGTCCTGCTCAAGGACAGCAGAAAAGGAGGATAAGCTGCTTCCTCCTGAGAACTGGGAAAATACCAGCACCCCGGTAGCCTGGAGCATGGCTGAGCTTTCTGTTTGCCCATTGCATGAAGGGAGGGAATTGCTGACGGCACGGGAGCGCCTTGATCACGCACCTCGGGCAGGCGGCAGAACTGGCAGAAGCTGCTAATGAGGTGACAGAAGATGGAGAACTTTTTACTCCTTCAAACCAATTGTAGGAACTTCTAAGTAGTTTGATCAAGTAGCTCTAGTCACACCAATTAGCTACTTTTACATTTAAAAAGCAGCTATGGAAGCACCACGTTTTTCACAGCTATCCTGGGGACACGGTACAGGGCTTATTGAGGCAGAAGCAGCTTATATGCTGATTTCAGCAAGCTTCAAGGAGGCCCTCAGACTAAACTCCCTTCACTAATTTTGTCTGAAGACACAAAAAATCCCCCAAGGCTGTTGCAAATCATGAGCATTCCTGGATTTTCCTTTTGTTTCCCCAGCTCCCAAACACTCTGCTCCGGCATTAACACTTTCTTTGCATCACCCTGCCTCCATGAGCTCATTCCCTATGGAAACTACTTCTCAATGGGAGCCGTGAGTCTATCATTTTCTTAATGACTTGATGGAAACAGAAATTTATCTGCACACAGGTTAATGTATTTAAATTCTTCCCCAAACCCTCACTTCTTCCCCAGCGACTGCTTGGGCGCTAACAAAGACCAAGTCACTGTCTCCTTTAAACTGCTTCATGGTTCACACCTTCTCTCCATCTGTTCTGGCTGTTATGTTCCTTGGGGCTGTGCATGTCTAGTTCTCGTCTTAAACTGCGCACCTTACACTGGTGTTGTCATGCAAATAATAATAATCTAAGTTTGCAAAAGAGCCTTTTTTTTCCCTTACCGTATGAAACAGTGAAGGAACAGCCCATTAGACTTAATGCAGGTTTCCAGTTGCTTGTAAGATCCAGCAGTGGTATAAAAGACCCATCTCATTGCTTTTCAAAATGAGTACCAAATACTCCATTAGGTGAGTACAGGCCTCTGAAAGTTGATTACATGAAGCGTGGAGATAGACACTCATATATTGGGCACGCAGCTTTCAGAACAACGTTGCCTGCTACGAACTACAGGTCATTTCCTGGACTACGGCCCAAAGCACTTGCAAATCCTGCCATTCGATCCTATAGCACCTTCTCTAAATCGGAAGCTTTTAAGACGGTTGAAAACGGTGCACCCCAAAATTACCATTAATTTCAGGAAATGGTGGCAACAAAAGTAATTTTGACCTTAACAAAATAGGATTTGATTCAGTTCTGCTGAAACCTAAGGGAGCAGCTCTACTGAAATAAAATGAAATAAAACTTAATCAAGGAGCAGTACTCCCTACACCAGGAGAAAAAATGGGGAAAATGTTCTTGTAATATGTCATTCTTTAGCTTTTTCCTATTCTTGTAAAACATATTACCGGAGGCAAGATCCTGAATGTGATAAACCTAAGATAGGAATATTTTTCAAGTTGCACATCTGAAGTGCTTTAGAGACATTAGCTTGTCATTTTTCAGAACTTAGGGAAAGGTAAGCTACAGTTATCCATCAGCTGAGGAGACCTAAGTAGATGGAGCCGGGGCCAGGATTCAGAGGCAGAGGCTGTCCCTGCTTCCCACGGCTACGCACCAGCCGGCTTTTCATCTAGCAAGTGCTGCGTCCCTGCGTCTCAGCTGTAATGCGGGCTTTGCTCATTCAGTTGTTCAAACATTGTGTGCAGCCAAGCTCAAAACACACCCTAAACCTCAAACATACAAAAACCTTTAACAGTTCTCTAACTATAACACCATTAAAAAAAAAAAAAAAAGTCATCTGGAGAAACTTTTAAACACAAACAGACCAACTAAACTACTTGAGGCTGGATTCCCATTTACAAAGCTCTGGTTTTTACATGCAAGCCTTTGGAATTTAATTACTTTGATTACATTACAACCATTGAGATAATTGATATTTTACAGAGAAGCTGAGCAGTAAAACAATTTAATAGCCCATTATGAGGATTTTAACTGACCCGATCTTTTTGTTCGTTTCCCATGTGCCTGGGACATCCTGTAATTTCCTCTGCCCAGGCTGAGAGTGTCAGGTTGTCAGAGATTTTTAAGTGTCACGTAGGACTGATGACTCGCAAAGCACAGCACATGGTACAGTACGATTCAGCATCAAATGAGCCCACAGTAGGAATCCTGTCAAGCCCAGAGCAGACACTGTAATACTCATTAATTACTAGATGAACGTTAACTATGTCATAATTAGGTCAGCAGTGTTTTTAAGCAATATTACAGCGAGACTAACTCTGGAGACTAACCTGGTTCAAAATAGCGCGGAGTCTACGCTGCTGCTTCTGTGCAGTTCCCAACAGTTTGGGAACTCGGTTTAATCAATGCAAATCTCCTTTTTCTCTACGGAGTTTATAATTAAGTGAAGACCAGACGAGGTCGTTCACAACCGTAACACATGGAGCTGGCACAGAGTTCGCAAAAGCAAAGCCGGCCGCCGGAGCAGAGCCGTCGCGCGCCCTTTGGCGGTGGGAGCCAGCCAGCACCCAGGGACACCGCAGCCCTCGGGCTCCTCGGCTCCTCCGTGGCACGTGGAAAAACCTGAGCGCAGGCAGACCGACAGAAATTCAGATTAGATCTCTCAGCTTTTCCGCAAGTGTTTATGAATTGCAAGACCGCAAGTACCTGGCCCGTGGACATCCCAAACTCTTTGGCCTTTTTGGCCGAATTTTTAATAGCTGCGAGTTTAGCCCATTTATGACCACTTCCAAACTCTTGACTTCTCCAAGAGCGAGAACCTGGGACAGCTGCGAGCAGACACTTACAAATCCTGGTAACTTGGCAGACGAGTCCTGTTTGATTTTGGAAAAAAAATGAAGTCTGTCTAGGCAAACAGGACCCAGGTCTCCAGTATTCTTTCACTCTTGTGTGCAAAATAGATATAAAATGTTTTCTGGTTGAGTTCCTATTGTTTAATCACTTTGTACTAGCTTAAATCACCTCCAAAGTTACAGGATTGCAGAGAACCAGGTAGGTCCTATAGCATCCACAGCGTTAAAGATAAATAACAGGTTTTACCGTTCACCATGAATTTTAAGGTTAAGCTATTATTTCTTTTCTTAAATTCTTTTAGAAGTATTTAAATAGTAATATATCTTTTTTTTAATAAACAAGAACAAGATGAGATTTTTATTTTATTTTAATATCTAAGATAAAGCCAAAATGTCAACTGGCATTGAAGAAGGTAGAAAATGGTTCTTGCTTTCTGTAAATATATTTTTATCTAGTGAAATACTGGAGCTTTATAAGTTGCACTTTTCCTAAAACAAACAAGACACTAAATTCCACAGTCACTTGGAAACTGCTTGGCAAGTTTTTTTAAGGTTCAATAAATTTGGGTGAGACTTGGAAATAATTGTGAGATGAGATTTCCAAAAGCAACTAGTGATTCTGGGCTTGCAAACCGCAGCAGCTGCTAGTCTAACTTTCAGAATTACAAGAGCAAGAAGCATGCCCCTCTGAAGTTATGCTCTTCACGGTGTCAAGAAGGCCATGTGGTACCTCTAAATTTTTATTAAAATTTCACGTTTTATTCCTTTTAAAGCAATTTATGATGACCTCATTTGCTGGATAGTCCAAATCTCAGGCGAGGGAGCAATGCCAGCGCCTAAGCCCGTTGAGTCCTTGGCCTCTCTGCTAAGAGCACCTAAGAGCAGGAAACTGGAAGATGGTTTTTAGGGTGTAAGCCCTTGCAGGGTGTGAACTCTGACCACTGGCTAACACATGGAGAGGAGAGCAGAGCAATCAGGTAGCAACAGCTTCTTGTCCTGTCCATCCTAGGCTTGCGCCGGGACGGTGACCCAGGGACGAAAAGCTCCAGACCCTAGTGCGAGTCCCCCAAATGTCTCATGTCCTGTAAAGGATACAGAGTCTGTTCAAGTCTATACATCATCTGCTCAAGAAAGAGTGGACACATTCAGCTGCCGAGCTATCAGTGCCAAACAGAAATCATGCCGGTAGCGTCGTTCTGAGCGAACTGTTTCATTCACGTAAAGCAACCTGAGGACTGCAAACCTATTTTCTCATCCACTAAAGGGCAGAAGTAATGTTTGGATCCTGCTTGACTGTCTCGTGCTGAGGATGTCACCCTCTTAAGCAGCGATTTGAAATATGCCTCTTTCATGCTGGCAATACCTTTCATCATCAAAGAGCTTTATACATTGTACAGTTGGCACATGGAGCAGTAGTGATGATTTCACCCGCAGCTGAATTATTTCAGCTGTCTGTCTTAAACAAGGCACAATAGTTTGGGATGATTCAATTGAAACTCTCCAAAAAATTTCTGAAGGCAAGTTCTTCCAGGGCAGAAAAGGCCTTGAGCTACAAGAGGGCAGAGGCTGGAGCACAGCGTGTGTCGGTGGGAGCACCAGCCTCTGGAGCAGGGCCAGCTGGAGTCCAACCAGCCCGGGCAGGCAGATGAATGTGGGCCTGTCTGCACAAGTT